CCGACGGGTGCGGGTTGTTGTTCCTCAGATGGGGTTGGGATGCCCACCCAGCTGTTGCTCGTCAAATAGGTGCAGACTGCATGTGGCTGCTGCTCCTTGGACCAGTGTGGGCTGAGGCTGTCACTCCTCAGATGTGGGTGGTCTGCCCGTGTGGCTGCTGCTCCTCGGGTGGGAGCGAGCTGCACATGTGGCTGCTGCTCCTTCAATGGGGGCAGGTTGCTCTCGGCACTGCTGTTCTTCATATGGGTATGGGCTGCTCACACCACTACTGCTCCTCATATGGGGGCAGGCTGCTCGTGCAGCTGCTGCTCCTCAGATGTGGGCAGGTTTCTCGCACACCTACTGCTCCTCAGACAGGAGCAGGGTGTGGGCTGTGCAGCTGATGCTCCTTGGATGGGGGCAGGCTGTGTGGGGCTGCTGCTCCTCAATCATGGGCAGGCTGCTCGTGTGGCTGCTGCTCCTCAGACAGGTCATATCGCTCACATGGTTGCTGCTCCTGGGACGAGGGAGCAGGCTGCTCACATCATTGCTGCTCCTTGGACAGGGGCAGGTCACGTGAGGCTTCTACTCTTAGGCCTAGGGCAGGCTGCTCACAGGGCTGCTGCTCCTTGGACAGGAGTGGACTGCTCACGTGACTGCTGCTTGTGTGGTTGCAGTGCCACTCTCTCCCTCACTGACGTCTTCTTCCTGCCTCTGTAGTTGGGTCTGGGGTGTTATAGACCCATTCGTGGATGGAGTTTCCTCTCCAGATGTCTGGTTATGAGGCTCACTCTGTAGCACCTTCTTTCCACTTTGCCTGTCCCAAGGGACGTGGCTCGGCGCCGGTACCGTGTGGATTCCCTCTGATCCTCAGGCCTCAGAGGTCTGGCAGATTATCCTTCCCAGAGCCTTGGTTTTACCTTTTTCCAGGAGTCCTCTGCCTTTCCTGGCTGCAAACCATCTCCCAGCTGAATCTCCTTTGCCAAATCGAGCTGGATGTTACTCATTTCAGCTGCTCACTCTATCTGCTCTGGGACAAGGCACTGGACATGTCCATCTATACCGCCGCCATTTTTCTAAATGGCATTTTCTTAATTTTCTATCTGAATTGTTCATTGTTCATATATAGAAGCGCAACTTATTTTTACCTGTTGATGTAATATATTTTATTGATTTTTTACAGAGAGGAAGGGAGAGGGATAGAGAGTTAGAAACATTGATGAGAGAGAAACATCGATCAGCTGCCTCCTGCACACCCCCTACTGGGTATGAGTCCACAACCAATGTACATGCCCTTGACCGGAATTGAACCCGGGACCTTTCAGTCTGCAGGCTGAGGCTCTACCAACTGAGCCAAACAGGCTAGGGCATACCTGTTGATTTAGTATCCTGCAGCTTTGCCGAACTTGTTTATTAGTTCCAACAATTTTTGTGAGACTTTAGGGTTTTCTACATAGAAGATTATATTATATGCAAACAGACATAATTTTACACCTCCTTTTCCAATTTGGATTCCTTTTATTTCTCATTCTACTTGCTGGCTAGGACTTCCAATACTGTTTTGAGTAGAAATAGCAAAAGAAGGCTGATCTTTCTGCCTGATCTTAGGAAAAAGCTTTTAGACTTTCACAATTGAGAGTCATGTTAGGTGTGGTTTTGTCATAAATGGTCTTTATAATGTTGGCGTAATTTCCTTCTATTCCTAGTTGGAGCATTTTTATCATGAAAGGATGCTGACTTTTGTCAAATGCTTACCTTGATTCAATCTCCTTACTATTTATAGGTCTATTCATATTTTCTATTTCTTTGTTATTCCATCTTGGTAAGGTTTTGTGTTCCCAGGAATTTGTCCATTTCATCTAAGTCATCCAATTTCTTGTCATACAATTATTCATAGTACTATTATAATTCTTATTATTTCTATAGAATTGGTAATAATGTACCCACTTTTATTTATGATTTTAATAATTTGAGTCTTCTCACTTTTTTCTTAGTCAATCTAGGTTAAGGTTTGTCATTTTGTTAATCTCTATTGAGGAACCAACTTTTCATTTCATTGATTGCCTCTATTGTTTTTCTATTCTGTAATTTATCTATCTCCACTCTAATCTTTATGAGAATTTAGTTTGTTCTTTCTCTAGTTCCTTTTGTTGTAGAGTTAGGTTGCTTATTTGAGATCTTTCTTCCCTTTTAAAGTAAGCATTTACAATTGCCAATTTCTTGCACAAGAGTCTCAACTTATCTGAGCCTCATATTCCACAACAGAAAATTACAATAAGAGTACCTGCTTCATGGTATTGTTTTAAGTATTTAATGTGCTATTGAATCAAACCCTTAGCAAAATGTCACACACAGCAGAAATGTTCCACAACATTAGCTGTTATTATTACTTCTATTATCACTAGCCTCTATGAAATCAGTAGTCCTAGAGTCAAGGATCCACCCCTTACTAATCATATGACTTTGGGTAAATTTTTCACCACTCTGAACCTCAATTTTTTCATCAGTAAAACAGAAATAATGTCTGACAGGGTTATTATATGAATCAGATGAGATACAACTAAAGTACTTAGCACAGAGCCTGGCACATAGTAAGTACCCCATAACAGCAGTTAAATTAATATTAATCCTTAATCTTGAGTTCACTAGTGAGGGCAACAGAAATTTTTCTTAAAAGACACAGGTGCAAAATGATTTAAATTACACAAAAAAATCATTGGGACATATTTACTGACAAAATATAGGAAAAGAAAAGCAGTTGAATGCAAAGTTTCAAGCCTGGTTTGTTAATTTTCATCATCTGACAGGCAGCCACGATGGAATTAGACATACAAATATTTATTTGGAAGAAAATCCCTGTGAAGGAAAGAAAGTGGGATGGAAGTGGGAGGAACCTGGAAGATTCCTTGGGCAAGGATGCAGATCTGGTTACTGTGTAGGAGAAAGAAAAGAAAGATTTAGGTTGCAGTGCCATCTTGTTTTGTTGTTCTTTGTTTGTTTGTTTATTAATTTTTGTGAATTAACTTTGGAACACAGCAAACCATCTGACTGAAAAGTTTTGAAACTATGAATGATTATTATATAAGAATACTTAGAGAACATTTAAAGGATATAACATTACTGTTTAGGATTCTCTTGGCAAACTGAAGAAGAAAACTGCTGAAGTTCTGCCCCCTTTAGACAATTATTTTCAAACTTTAGTTTTCACAGGAAATCTTTAGGGTGCTTGTTAAAATTTCAGATTCCAAGGCTCTGCCCATAAAAGTTCTGATTCAGAATGTCTGGAGTGGGACCCAGAAGTTTGCATTTTTAGAAAACATCCCAAAGAATTCTGTCATAGGTGGTCTTTGATATACAACATTTCAACATACTGGTTTAAAGGTCTCAACTAACTCTAGAGAACAGCTTAAGACAAAAATAGTCCTAGGGTAGTGAGTGTTTTCTTCCTAGAATCACTGTGGATCCCATGCAAAAGTCAAAGGAACACAAACTCTTCGGGTTCGGTGACGATGGAAGTAAAGATCCCTCCACCCTACCACTCCCAATTGCCCATAAAGATCATCAAGGATCAATACCTGTGATTCCCAACCCATTATTTTCACAAGAGGAAACGAGGAGACTGCCCTTTAACTCTGCCACCAGGGCTTCCTAAAATGTGGTCTTTCTCCATGAGCCAAGCTGTGGGTCTATGAGATGAGAACCTATCACTTCCCAGTGCACCATCTCTCTGCTAGGCCCCCTCAAGCATCCCTGCTTTCCAGGATGGAATGCCGTGGAACAAAACAAAGGTGTTAGTAGTGACTATTTGGGATGGAATCATTTACTTCTCAAGAAATTAAACTTACCCCTTTCAGGGTAGTTGGAGAGCATATGACTGTTTCAGGTTAGAAAAGAGAGCTGATGAGTCACACACTGCCTAAAAAGCAACATTTCCACAACCTATGTTCAGTGTGCCTTCTGGGTTTGCTACCACCATCCTTAAATGTAAACTCTTTTTTAATGGTACAGGAGCTGGCAGAAATTTTTGCTCTAACATGAATAGAAAAAAATTCTCCTGCACAAGACACCTTTAGGTTTATTTGGGGGGTTAGGCCTCAGGAAGAGACCTGTTTTAATTTTTTTTTTAATTCAACCCTGGAAGTAGTGAAGGGAAGCAGGATGGACAATACCTTCATTTCCCCAGCAGCTCTCATTTTAAAAAATGTTGGGAACACCTCCAGTGCCATGTTCTTTTAATGTTGTTGTTGTTGGTAGTGGTGGTGGTAGTGGTGGTGTGTGTGTGTGTGTTTAATATTAGAGAGAGGAAGGGAGAGAGAGAAAGAGAATTATCAATCAACTGCCTCCTGTACACCCCTCACTGGGGATCCAGTCAGCAACACTGGCATGTGCCCTGACTGGGAATCAAGCCAGTGATCTTTTGGTGCAGGGAACAATTCTTCAACCACTGAGCCACACCCACCAGGGCTACAGTGCCTTCTAAGAGATTATCTGCAAGGCTGATGGGGAGTCCTTGAGCTAAAGTTACCCACAAGATGAAAACCATTGCTCACAGCATTGGGCTTATTTCAGATGCCTGCTGGGAGCCCGGGGGACATCTGTGAAAAGTAGGTGGTGCATTCACCACCTTCCATCAGTTAAGTCCCCACCAAGGAGACCTGACTGGCACATATTCGTGGCAGCCACACCTGTTGCAGAAAAACATGCCACCATGAAAGGTGGGATGTTATAACTTACAAAAATGGCCATCAGCTTTCTCACATTTCCAAAGCTCCAAACATATCTCCATGCAGAAAGGCCAGGATGGAATTGTGGCAAGTCTGGGCACCAACCTAGAAATATAGTGAGAGAGAATAATTATAAGGATATAGTCAGTTACTTACATCATAGAAACCCTCCTAGGGGCATTTTTTCCCTTGGAGGAACAAGTAGAGACCACTTCATGTTGCGAGTTGTTTCCCAGGGCACCCCCACTGTAAAATAATGTCACCTCCACTCATTCTTCTCTTTTCTATCCATGACAGATGATCCAACACTACCAAGTCCTGGCCTCTCAGCCTGGGCTATTGTCGGCATCGTGGTTGGCGTCCTGGTTTGTGGAGCTCTGATAGTAGTCCTGGTGTACTTCCTGATTTTCATAAAGACTGGATGGTATGATGGCCTTCCCTCTTGTCCCGCTTCCTCCAAAGCTAACAACCATGCTTGGGAGAGGGAAGGAGACTTCCCCTCTGTCTCTGGGCCTGGATCTGCTCCTCCTCCTTCCTAAACCCCTGCTTCTCAGCACTGATTCCTGAGGCCTCATCTTCCCTGGTCTTCAAGCTTCCTGTACCCCACTCTCTTTGGGACATGGTTATTCCCATCCCCCTGTGGTTTAGAGTGGGCAGATCTGATTATGTTTCTTGGTCCTACAGTCATGGAAACCAAGGTCAAAGAAGAAAAACAAATCAGCAAATGAAAAGAGGAGCAGGAGAAAGCAACTCCTGTGCTCTGTCAATCATAGGAAAAGGAGAAAAGAGGGGCAGGACAGGAAGAGAACCTTAAAAATACATGAAACCAGCCTGGTCTGTGTGGCTCAGTGGTTGAGTGTCCACCCATGGACCAGGAGGTCACAGTTCATTTCCCAGTCGGGGCACATACCAGGGTTGTGGGCTCAATCGCCAATAAGGGGCACAGAGGAGGCAGCTGATGCATGATTCTCTCGCATCATGAATGTTCCTATTAAAGCTGACACCAAAGGCCTCTTAGGTAGTAATTAACATGAGAATGAAAGAATCGACAAAAGTGAAAGTTGTCCATGTAGAAATAGGCTCAGAAGCAATTGATAAAGAATAGACCTTTGTGCCCTGGCCAGGTGGCTCAGTTGGTTGGAACATGGTCCCATAGAAAGGTTGCATGTTCCATCCTCAGTCGAACACAAACCTAGGTTGAGGATTCTATCCCCAGATGGGGTCTCTCTCTCTCTCTCTCTCCCTTTCCTCTTTCTGAAATTAGTAAACATCCGATGAAGATTTTTATAAAAAATATGGATCTGTGTGAATGTGAGGACAGCAGGAAAGGAGTGCACTCTAGAAGGGACGGTGGGTACACTGAAGAGGAGCCCTAGGAGGAAAGGCAATACTGACTCTGGTCTAAATGAGCAGACAGTGTCCTTCCTACTTCAAGGAGCAAAGAGCCTGTGCTTGGGAATAGCAGTCACAGTCTCTGATATTTGTTTAGGGCAAGCGACCAGCGCGATCTCACAGAGCACAAACCCTCAGCCTCCAACCACAGTAAGTAAAGCCATCACCAGTGAGAGCTGGTGTGTTCCACCACGTGCCCTGCCCTAGCAGGAAACCTGGTCCCAAGGACTCAGTACCTTCTGAAATGTTAGAGAGGATTTCCACTTCCCAACCTTAGGTTGCCATAGGTCCTCACACCCTTCTAGTCACAAAGATTCTTCTGAGACCCAGCCCTGGGAGAGACTCACTCAGCCAGACCTGGCAGGCCTGAGTAAGATGGACATGTTTTCCAAAGCCATTCCTCACCTTACCCCTTCCCCTCCTCCTCTGTTACGGATGTGGGCACTCTCCTTTGGTGAGACTTTCTGTGTCTTGTGGTGCTCTGGGTGCTGTGGGTCTCTATGCCCCTCCTTGCCACTGGTGCCTGTTGCTGAGAAACACAACTGGGCAAAAACAACACCTTGTGAGCTGGAAAAAACATTCAGAAGTGGACTGAGGCCTCCCTGTCACTAATCCGGCCGCACTCACCCCTCAACCCCACCCCCTCCTGCTGGTACTAACCCCCTGGGTCTGGACCACAGATCTGAGAGAAGCAATTTCCTTAAGTAATCATGGGCCACATCCCACTCCCCTCCCACCACCTTCCACCTCCTTCAACTAGAAATCACAACAGCCTAGGAACATCAAGGCTGTGAAATCATAAGTCAGTTTTGAATTTTCATGGATTGCTAACTCTTTCAACTCCCAGGTCAGGGCCACTCTGACAGCTCACCTAACAAGCTAAGTGCAGCCAGTTGCACTGGCTCATTTTCTCATGGATATACCTCTATAGAGAATGAGTTACTCTTGAAAACACAAATGAGAAAACGTTTGAGTCTAGGTTCCTCAATGCAGCAACAAACCAAGGTGTATTGGTTAACTACTCCCATGGGTCTACCCCATGCAAGAATGTGGGCTCTGGAGTTACCCCCATCCTGAGTTTGAATCCTGGCAGTGACTCTTAGTTCCTCTGTGACCTTGGGCATGTAACTTGATCTCTCTGATCCTCACGCTGTCATCTGTAAACACGAAATGCTGCCTACTTTAGAGAGAAGCTGAAAAAATGAAATGAGATAACACATGCAAAGCACCAGCATGGTGCCCAACATCAGGAAGGCACTGGGTCATTCTCCCTCCTCTACCTTCAGTCTGATCGTGTTCTTCCTGTCAAAGGATAATGTCCATTCCAATGGGTCTGAGGTCTTAGTTCCTTCACTTTAGTTTTTTTTAATTAAATCTTTATTGTTCAGATTATTACAGTTGTTCCTCTTTTTTCTCCCCATTACTCCCCTCGACCCAGTTTTCACCCCACCCTCCGCCCTCACTCCCCACCCACTGTCCTCGTCCATAGGTGCACGATTTTTGTTCAGTCTCTTCCCGCATCCGCCACACCCCTTTCCCCCCCCAAGAATAGTCAGTCCATTCCCTTTCTATGCCCCTGATTCTATTATAATCACCAGTTCATTCTGTTCATCAGATTATTTATTCACTTGATTTTTAGATTCACTGTTGATAGATGTGTATTTGTTGTTCATAATTTGTATCTTTACCTTTTCTTCTTCTTCTTCTTCTTCTTCTTCTTAAAGGATACCTTTCAGCATTTCATATAATACTGGTTTGGTAGTGATGAACTCCTTTAGCTTTTTCTTATCTGTGAAGCTCTTTATCTGACCTTCAATTCTGAATGATGGCTTTGCTGGATAAAGTAATCTTGGTTGTAGGTTCTTGGCATTCATCACTTTGAATATTTCTTGCCACTCCCTTCTGGCCTGCAAAGTTTCTGTTGAGAAATCAGCTGACAGTCATATGGGTACTCCCTTGTAGGTAACTGACTTTCTTTCTCTTGCTACTTTTAAGATTCTCTCTTTGTCTTTTGCTCTTGGCATTTTAATTATGATGTGTCTTGGTGTGGTCCTCTTTGGATTCCTTTTGTTTGGGGTTCTCTGCGCTTCCTGGACTTGTAAATCTATTTCTTTCACCAGGTAGGGGAAGTTTTCTGTCATTATTTCTTCAAATAGGTTTTCAATATCTTGCTCTCTCTCTTCTTCTGGCACCCCTATAATTCGGATGTTGGTACGCTTTAAATTGTCCCAGTGGCTCCTTACACTCTCTTCGTATTTTTGTATTCTTTTTTCATTTTGCTTTTCCAGTTGGGTGTTTTTTGCTTCTTCGTATTTCAAATCGTTGACTTGATTCTTGCGAACCTCTATTCTGCTATTGGAACTCTGCATAATATCCTTTATTTCAGTCAGTGTATGCTTAATTTCTAGTTGGTCTTTTTTCATAACCTCGAGGGTCTCACTAGATTTCTTGAGGGCCTCACTACATTTATTGGCGGTCTCACCAGTCTTTTCAAGGATCTTACTAAATTTATAGGCGGCTTCTAGAAAGTTCTTGAAAAACCTTAAAAATGTGGTTTTGAACTCTATATCCAGTAGTTTGCTTTCCTCCATTTCGGTCATTTGTGTCCTGTTTCTTTGTCTCTGCATTTTTTATGTTTCCCTGTGTTCATAAAGTGGTTTTCTGTGCTAAGTGTCCTCGAGGGCCCAGTGGTTCAGCCTCCCCAATTACCTGAGGAGGACACTCTTGGTGCACCCCCTTGTGGGCTTTGTGCACAGTCTTGTTATAGTTAAGCCTTGATTGTTGTAGTTAACACTGGGAGGAAATGATTTCCAGGCCAATTGGCTGTGAGAATCAGCTGTGTCTGCAGTGGGAGAACTTCTGTGCTGGAGACACCCCTCCGGGGCAAGACTTGCTTCAATGGGGCTTTGGTGCTCACTGGGTCTGCCCCCCGAGTGTGTCCTTTAAAGGTCTGAGGAGCTGCAAACTGGATGGTCCCACTCTGACCACTGGGGACTCTCGCTCCTGGATCTCTAGGGAGGTGCTAATCTAGCTTTTGCCTGAGGCTATCCAGCAAAAACCTCTGTGCAGGGCTTGGGCATGGCAGGGCGGGTCCCACGAGATCCACAGGGTGGAGTGAGCAGTTATGGCTGCTCTCATTCCTGTCCTCAGAGACTCTGCTTCTCAGTGTCCTGGTAATCGCTGCAAGCACCTCCAAAAGAAGCTGCCCTCGAGTTCCAACAGATGCCAGACAGTCCCGCTTCTCCCGTATGAGTCTGGGTCCCCAAAGACTCGCCCGGAACTGGAGCTCAGAGCCTGAGACTCCCTCCCAATTGAAAAAGACAACCTCGCCCTCAGCCGCCAGCCCACTCTGCGTGTGCCTCTGTACCTTAGTATTTTACTTCCGCACCGCTCCTCCTCTGGGTCTCGGTATGCTTTTCTCTTTCCTTCTAGTTGTATAATTTCCACTCAGCCAGCCTTCCTGTGGTTCTGGATGATGTCCGTTCTGTCTTTTAGTTGTATTTTTGAAGTGGTTGTGTGAGGCAGCGAACTCCAGTGTTTACCTATGCCGCCATCTTGGTTTCTCCTCCTTCACTTTATAATAACGTTACTGAGCTTCTCTCATTTAGCCTTTCAATACAGCACACATATGTATTGAAAAGTGCTAAAAGCATATATATATATATATATATATATATATATATATATATATATAATAATATGCAAATTAGCCAGACACCGTAACGGTAGCAACCGGCTCAGGAGGAGGCTGTGCGCACAGATGGCGGGCCCGGAGTGGAGACACAACACAGCGCACCAGCAGTCCAGCTTCTGCACGTAAACTGCAGAGGAAACACCTTTTTTTACCGCTCATTGGCTAAGCTCCCTGTACACCACTTGCAGTATTCTTGGTAACATGGGTAATAAGAATCCAAGAAGGTGATCTAGGGCTTTCCCACCTCATTCCTGGAGAAGGTCTGCTGCTGGAGGGGCTACAAAATGTCGTATCCTGCCTAGCCAGTTTGGCTCAGTGGATAGAGCCTCAGCCTGTGGACCGCAGGGTCCAGGTTAGATTGTGATCAAGGGCATGTATCTAGTTTGCAGGCTCCTTCCTGGCCAGGGCCAAGGTCAGAGCTCATGCAGGAGGCAACCAATTGAAGGGTCCCTCTCACATTGATGTTTCTCTGTCTTTCCCTCTCTCTTCCACCCTCTCTAAAAATCAGTGGAAAAATATCCTCAGGTGAGATTTAAAAAAAAAAAGAAAGAAAGAAATGTCGCCGAAACCGGTTAGGCTCAGTGGATAGAGCGTCGGCCTGCAGACTGAAAGGTCCCAGGTTCGATTCCGGTCAAGGGCATGTACCTTGGTTGCGGGCACATCCCCAGTAGGAGGTGTGCAGGAGGCAGCTGATCGATGTTTCTAACTCTCTATCCCTCTCCCTTCTTCTCTGTAAAAAATCAATAAAATATCTTTTTTTTAAAAAGAAAGAAATGTCATATCCTATGAAGGAGACATCTTGAAAATGCCTAAAGAAAGTTGTCATTTTTTTGTGGTGAAGAGACTGGAGTCCATGTTGATGAAAACACTTGGTGGCTGTGGCGGCCGGCAGTGGCAGCAACAGCAGGTGATAGGGCTGGCACCTTCCCCTGATCAGCCAGGCACATGCTGCAATCAGTAGGACATTCCCTGAGGGCTCCAGGTCTGTGAGAGAGGCTGCGCTGAGGGACCCCCGCCCCAGTGCACAAATTTAGTGCACCGGGCCTCTAGTATGTTAATTATATATAAATTATCATGAATTGAGCATACCCTTGTAAGCAGCACTGAAATGAAGAAACAAAACATGTTATCCCCCTCAAAATAAAACCCTCCAGTCACTTCCCTCCAAAGAGTAACCATATCCTGACTTCCAATGCACTAGATGATTTTTGCCTGTTTATGCTCTTACATTAAAAAGCACAGTATATCCTTATATGTGTGTTGTTTCTTTCGTTCAAAATGGTCTCGTGAGACTTATCCATATTGTGGTATGTATTTGTGGTTGTTCATTCTCATTGCTGTATCCTCCTCTTCCATGGTATGAATACATAATCTATCTCTTCTAATGGTCACTGAAAGGATGTCAGCAAGCAGAGATAATGGGTAATAAAAGTCCTTCAACAAAGCTAGAAGTTTAAAAGTGGTGAGAGCAGGTGCTGCCTAATCACAGGAGGCCAGGAAAGGGCCTGACCTGTGATACTGACTTAATTGACCACTTCTCATCCCTTTCAGATCCATGAAGTTACATATTCCTTGCTGAACTTCAGTGGCCAAGAATCAAAGAAACCAACGTCAGCCTCCCCATCCCCAACAGCCACAGAACCAGTTTATTCGGAAATAAAAAAGAAGTAATGCAACCAGCCCTGCTCACCACACTACTGCCTGGTTCCAAGTCTCATCCCATCACTAGGAGACCCCGTTGCCCTCAGGGAAAAGGAGAGGATGCGACCACAACCCTGGAAGAGCACACCTGGAAAGCTCTTTCTCTCCGCCCCCCCCCCCCCCCCGCCCCCTCACTCTGTCATGAGGCAGCTCCAGGCTCCTGGTCACAGCCCCTCCCTTTGGTGTCAGCAGGTGAAAGGGAGTCTGCAGGAAGCCCAGTCTTCCTTTTCATTAAAATTTGTCTCATTAAATTAGTACTAAAACCAAGAAAGTCTATAGATGGCTCTTTAAAAAGCAAACTTCTGACTGAATTATTAAGAGGAAATGAGAGTGATCACAATAAGCAATATTAGGAGTAAAAAAGGAAACAATGACAGCAGGCAATAGGAGGACATCAGGAGCATCCCTATTGCAAATATTTGAAAGATTAGATTAAAAGGAATAAATACTTAGAAAAATAAAATGAAAACAGAACTGAGTCAAAAAGAAAGAAAAGTATGAGTAGCCCTATTAACCAATAAAGAAACTGAGTTGGTAATCCTTCCAAAAAAGGATACATATAATCTAGATTATTTGATGGTGTTTTCCAAACATTCAGAGAACAATTAATACTAATCTTATAAGTGCTCTTACAGAAAATAGAAGAGAGAGAACACTTCCCCAGCTGTTTTTGTGTGACTAGTATAATCTTGACCATGGAATCAGAAGAAAGTTGCTAGACATGAGCAGAGCAGAGACAGAGTGGTACAGAGACTCACCAGGGCAGAAAGTTCCAGAAGACTATTAAGGGGCACAATTGAGAAAACAAGAACCTATCCTCCCCTAGCATATCACTGGACATGTGGTTTGGACCTGGGATCTTTCATATCTCTGGTCAGGCAATTTAGACCCCCCTGACCATTTCCTCCCATAACATAACATCTAGGCTTCGGTTGAATTTCAGCTCAAGGCAAAGAAATGCAGAAAAACCAGACAAGTGACACAGGGCTGCCTAAAGAAGTTGACTAATGACTTCCTGCCTTGACATTGTTGTGGTAAAGCGGGAAGAAGTTAACTAGAAGAGGACGCTCTGCCGGGAGAAGGCGTAAGCCTGCACACAGGCCGCATCAGAACAAAGTCTTGCACACGAGACTTATTGTTCCGAGGCAGAACTTTCCTTGACGTGATGAATAGTCCATGAGGGCATAGAAAGTTCAGGGGAGGGTGCACTGCTACAGGTGGAAAGAATCTTTGTATAACATAGGAAATTAATAGTGTAATGTATAACTTAGCTTTGATAATTTCATAAAGCATGTTTGTTAATCATTGTCACTTGCTGTACCCCATTGTTAATCATTGTCACTTGCTGTACTCCATTGTTATTTGCTGTGCTCACCCCCAATAAAAGCCAGAAGGGATCAGAGGATCTTGGCTATTCGCCTGAGCGAGCGGTAGCCCTCTGCTTCTCCGTATCCAGTCGTCCAACTCATCTCTGCGTCTCCGTTCACCAAGAACATCAATAGACATCGTCCAATCAGTGGAGAACACGACCCTGAAAGAGCAAACCTAGAAAGCTGATGAATATTCCATTAAGACCCTCCCCTAAGATTTCCACCTGCTAGAAAGAGAGACATGTGCTCAGGATAAAGGACCCAGTGTGCACTCTCCCTCCAAGGAGCATGCCCTTCCCATTCCCCACAGGCACGTATTCCCCAACCTCTAAGGGATCCCATGAGACCTGCAACCAGGGGAGCAATGGGCAGTGGCAGCTTGTCCTCAACTAACCCCCTAAACTTGTCTCCAAGGACCCTTTTCTCTGACTTCTCAGAGTCAAAGCAGCCCAGCCCAGGCTTCTCTGTTGCTTCTTCTATGCCCTTCCTTGTTTCACGGTCCTAAGTACATTTTTGCTGCCATCATGGGGTATAATACCTTTTGCTCAGTGCTGCGTGGTCCTTCCCATTGCATATCCCCATCTCCCATCCCCTTTTCCTTAAATGAATTCCATTTTCTTTAATCACCATCTGAGATGGCTATTTAGCCTGCCTGAGCACCACCCACTTTAATCTTTCAAAACTCAGAAAGGAAAATAACAGGATTAATATTCTTGTATATGAACATCCTCAGGAACAGTAACATAATCAGCAATGAATAAAAATGATGACATGCAGGAAATGTGGGTTTATTTCAGAAAGAGTTTAGCAGTATAAAAGTCACTTTAATTCACAGCATTAAAGGTTTAAAGGAGAAAAAGCATGTAAATTTTTCAAAAGACACTTTCAAGAAAAACTCTACCTAAAATTCAGCCTCTATTTATGTGAAGAACTTAATGAGCCAGAAATAAAAGGAACTTCCTTAATCTGAAAACGAGTGTTTACAAAATGTTATGGTAAAGTGTGGGCCAAAAGGGGCCACACACTAAACACAACGGATCAGGGGAGGCCTAGGTGGTGGCCTTGCAAATTCAGGGCCCTAAAGTGACCACAAAGGATGGTGTGAAATGAAAACTTTTAACTAAAAGCAGTTTATGGCAGCTAGTAATGTCCTAGGCTAGACTCTTCCCTAGCAAAAGTCAATCTTGACCTTAACTGACCCTGTCTAATGTCCTTTGCATCCGCTATAGCTTTCCTATGGAATGTCTGGAAAACTCCCCTTTCTTTTGACTGTTAATTATCCTGTACCCACATACGTAAAAGATGTGAAACATTTTACATCCAGTCCCAGGGGTCCCCCCATTTGCTTTCTCCCACCTCCCTAATCTATTACCAGTGGATGTCAAGTGACCCACTTGCCTCTGATCTCTTGATTGAGATGTATAAAATAAGATGCAAAAGGCCATTCTCTAGAGCATTATCTCAATCCATGGAGATTTTGCTCCCCAGCTATTGTCAATAGTTTAGCTCAAGTAAACTCACAAAAATTCTTCACCAGTTTGGAGTTTCATACTTTGACCTTTACTCATTATAGTGCGGCAGGATTCCAAAGCAGTTCACCTAGGACGACCCTGCAGACCCAGACCCAGTGCTAGGATCCAGCAAGGGGTCCACTGAGCTCACTAACCCCCTGGCCCCCTATCTGGTAAACTTGCTGAGTTGTCTCTTGGATCCAGGACCTTCCCTTGCTTGTGGTAGAAGAATGAAGAATGAGGATCTGACTTTAATTGGGCTGTATTTTAAATCCGCAAGGTGGAACTAAGGTTAAGGGTTGACAGAAGCAAGGCTAAGGGGAGACACAAGGAAAAATGGGTGGCTGTTTTTTTAACTCAAGGAATTCAATTGGAATTGTTTTCTGAGAGTCTGAGAAAAAAACCTTCACTGTATAAATGAGAGCTGAAGTTGTTCAGCTCTGAAGATCAGGGGCACATCCTCCCTCCAGCACAAATCTCAGGTGTTCTTAAAGGCTCGGCGGGAGCCTTGACTTGCAAGTGATTGATAGAAATGAGAAGATTTAACTAGAAATTATGTTAACTTAAAATGGTCAAAATGCACCTGTCTGGTGTGTCTCAGTGGTTGAGCATCGACCTATAAACCAGGAGGACAGCTCTAGCCGGTTTGGTGCAGTGGATAGAGTGTCCGCCTGAGACAGAAGGTCCTGGGTTTGATTCCAAACAAGGGCATGTACCTCAGTTGTAGGTTCCCCAGCCCTGGTCGGGGAGCATGCAGGGAGGCAAACCAATCGATGTGTCTCTCTCACATCAATGTTTCTCTTTGTCTCTCCCTGTTTTTTCCACTCTCTCTACAAATCAATGGAAAAATATTCTCAAGTGAGGACTAACAACAAAAAAAACCACCACACTAAACCAGGAGGTCATAGTTTGATTCCCGTTCAGGGGACAGGGCTGGGTTTTGGGCTCAATCCCCTCTGGGGGTCATGCAGGAGGCAAATGATCAATAATTCTCCCTCCATTAATGTTTCTATCTCCCCCTCTCCTTACCTCTCTGAAATGAATACAAATATTTTTTAATAAAATAAAATGGTCAAAATGCAGTTGCCTTTGGGTGCCTAAATTAATTTTTTCATGCAAAAATTAGAAAAAAATGGAGGCTCTAACATTATACGGAATGAATGAATGGGAAATGTGTCTTGATTTGGAAATTAAAAGTTCCCAGTAGAAGCACAGATCAATTTTTGGAAAAAAATAATAAGAAATATTAGACTGTCTCTGAACTCTTCTGAAGTGATAAATGCCTACACCTCATTCTTCCTTCTTCTATTCCTCCTCCACTATATCCTTTGCTCTCAGAGCTTCCTTGTTCAGACTTGCCCTTCCCCTCCCTTTTTCCTTTGCCTTCTGTCTTCTCCACGACCACTCTCTAGTGAATTAAGGGAATTCTAACAGCTCCCTTTGGAGAAAAGTTGGCCTCAGCCAGAGAGGAACAAGCTATTGTTCCTGATTTTATCTGGGAACCTGATGGGTTCACAGAGAAATTTAACTGTTAGAACGTGTAATCCTGGCTATTCTAATTTATTGCAATTAATATAGCTACTGGTTTCTGGAAGCAAACGCAATAGAATCACTAAATAAGGTTCGAAAGGAAACTTCTATAGAGAAGTCTACCCACTTTAAGGATTATAAGGAACCGAAATGGGATTTAAGGGGAAAAAAATCAGAAACAAGCATAAAGCTGTTCTGTGGACTACAAGAAGGCATTTCCCCTTCTTATTAATAGTTTAGGAGAAATTAAAATTACCATGAAGAAGGAGGAGCTTATAATTCCTTGTATGAGACCCTGTAATTCTCCTATCCTTCTAATAAAGAAACTGAATGGTAAAAGGGAAATTTGTACAAAATCTCAGAGCTATAAATAAACTAGTTATCCCCAGACATCCTGTAGTTCCCAATCCACAAACCCTATTATCAACCGTTACTATGACTGCCAATATTTCCCAGTAATAATTTATGTAGTGCCTTCTTAGCATTCCAGTAGAAAAAGACAGTCCATACCTCTGCTTTCACCTGGAAGATTAAAGTTTACTTGGCCAGTAATGCCCAGGGATAAGTGAAGAGTCCCACCTATTATCTTAGATACTAAAAGCTGATTGAAATTATGTTAAATTTTCTAGATATTCCACTCTACTCCTACATGAGCGTGATCTGGTTGTATGCTCTAGTCTAGAAAATTACTAGACTC